ACACTCTAAAAAATGCTGGGTTAAATACAACCCAGCACTGGGTTGTATTTAACCCAGCATTTTTTAGAGTGTATGTAACTCAGCCATGCGGAGTATGAATTATATAAGGTTATTCTGTCATTCATAATCGGAGTCTGATAGCCCCTCCCCCTTCGCTACGTAATTAAAGCTGTGACAGTTGAGTGCATGAAGTGTCAAACATTCCACACTTCATTTTTTTCGGTTATTTAAGTGCATCTCCGGGTATTTAAAGTGCACTTTTTGGAATTTTCAGTGTGAACACACCACTCGCACTATTTATACTACAAAACGTCATAGAATAGTGCATAAGTACGCGATTTGGGACGCACCTATTTACTTACAGTTAGTGATGCAGCTGCAGTCAGATCTAGTACCGCTTCATCTTTCAACAAATGTTTCTGTCTGAAAGTGAACGCGCATCTGTATACTGCATCCAGTGTAGACCAGATAGCGGCAGGGATTGTAATTTCTATTTGCTTTTGACGCGACGCGACACTCGCTTTCAGCGTAATCAAGTGTCAGCCATTAGCGGCTGAATGCCAGTGGGCGGGGCCTATGGTGAGAAGATGACTATTCGTCGATGCCTTGCTCTGGAGGCGGTGTTTATGCAAATGTTTGTGCCCCTGTGATGTCATCATGCACCTCAGATCCAAACGAGCCGTTTTCGGAGCTTGATTAAATAAATGCTTTGTTTATAATGAGGAGGACGTTTTTTAAGCTGTAAAACTTGCAAGATGTTTTAATGGTACAAATACCTCTTATATGCCAAAAGATCAAGGCAAATTTGATTTCTCATGTCATGACCCCTTTAATGAATTATCATTTCTTTCAGGAGGAAAAGGCACGAAAAGAGGAGGAAGAGGCCAAGAGGAAGGCTGATGATGACGCTAAGAAGAAGAAGGTTCTCACGAGCTTCCAGTACACGGGATTCATGCAGAGGGTAATGAGCTCAGAGGTCAAAGGTCACAGTGCACCGTCACTACATATGCTTATTTTCTGTTTTGTTTTGATTGACAGACAGACAAGAGAGGTGGGCCTAAGAAGCAAACCGAGAGGGAGAAGAAAAAAACTATTCTTAGTGAACGCCGTAAGGAACTGAACGTCGAAAACCTGAGTGCCGATAAACTGAGGTGAAGGAGTTTTCAAAGCATGACAGCACATACCTCTGCCAGCATGAAATATAGTCAAGTAGCATTACATGCATCGTGACATGAAGCCACGGGCTGTTGCTTCACATTCATGGTCTGATTAGTCATGTTCCTCATGTGCTTTTATGCAGAGAAACTGCGAACGAACTCTGGAAGTCGATGCGCCAACTTGAAGCCGAGAAGTTCGAGCTGCAATACAGATACATGTGCCAGAAATACGAGGTGAGGTTTCACATCCACAAAGTTTGACATGATGTTAGAGGAGTCATAACATTAGGAGAGGATGAGTTTATGAGATGTACAGTACGGTACAACTATCAATTACACACACAAGCAGTCA